TCCTGCCTCTGTCTTTGGAGAGTTTGTGCAGGAAAGCTCTGTGCCTGCCTTTGTTTCTCAAAAACAAAGATTCTTCTTAGGAGCAATAAAGGCAGAGGAAAAACCCTGTGATACACACTAAGAACTCCTGGGAGAATCCATGAAGCAACTGCTATAAGATCAGAAGAATAAAAAATCCATATCCCCACAGCTCCTGCAAGGCTTTAATATTTTCAAAGAACTGTCTTCATAATGCTATGAGCTAAGTAATGGAAGAATCATTATCCCCATTTTACAGATGAGGAGACTGAGGCCCAGAGAGGTCAGTAATAAATCACAATTTTGAAGCACTTTAAGATTTTCCCCAAGCGCAAGTTATTGTCCCCATTTTACAGATGATGGAACTGAGGCCCAGAGAGGCAAGATGACTTGCCCCCAGCCACAGAGCTAGTAATATCAGAGGTAGGACTCACATCCAGGATTTCTGACTCCCAAGTAAACAGTCTTTCCATTACACCACACTGGCTAGCTAGGCAGTGGGCAGCATCAAGATCAAAACCTCTAAAATTCCATGATTTTATGATAATACAATTGATTTGGATGTTTCCAAAGCCAGCCTTCTCACAGTCAGTTGGATTTAGGTGTGAGCTACTGACAGTGAAAATGACTTAGAGTGACTCCTTGGTTTGTCAAACCCTAGAACTGAAAGAGCTGTTATGGTCCAACCCTTATCTGAACCATCTACAACCATTTCCTAGCATTCAGTAACTGAGGGAAAGCCAAAGCAAAGCAGAGACAGCAGTTATGGCACAGTGTGGGGAAACGAGCAACAGAATAGGCTTATTCACAACAGCTATTCCTTCTTCCTTGTTGTTCCTTTGTACCCCCATCTGTTCCCCTAACCAAAAAGAAAGTCCATGTTCAACTTCTAGAAGCCAGAAGCAACAGGTCTGTATTGAAAGATTTAGGCTTTATCATTTGTATTTGTTTGTTTGTTTGTTTTTAATACATCTTTATGAACAGTCCTTGGGCTGCGTCAATCCATGAAAAATTATTACATGGGATCATAGCTCTGGTACTCTAAGGCAAAGGTGTCAAACTCCTGGCCACCACAGCAAGTGGCCCCAAAAAACTCCCATGTACAGACTGAATCAGATTAAAATGGAATTGGGAAATCTTTAACAAAATAAATAAAATATAAAATGCAACATAGATAATGTTAATGTGTGACTTCTCAAGTTAATATGTAACCTGCAGAGCTCCGTTACTATTTGGGTTTGACACCAGTGCTGTAAGGAACCTCCTTTTGGACTTTACAATCCAAATCTCATTTGAGAGATGAGGACACTGAAATCCAGGAAGATGACTTGCCCAAGGTCACAAAGGTAGCATCAGAGGTTGTTTTTGAACTCAGGACACTTCTCTGTTGTTCTAAGACTGTTACATAATTCAGCAGTCTACCATCCCCTCATGCAATGCCAAGCAACAGAGGATAATGGAAAGAACACTGGCCTTAGCATCAAGAGACCCAAATTCCAGTCGTAATTCTGACATTAACTAGCTAAGTGAGCCTGAGAAAGACACTTGCCCTCAGTGGGTTTCAGTTTTCTCTTCTATAAAATGAAAAGATTAGACTAAAAATGCCACTTCCCAATACTGGCATTATATAGCAGAGTTTCTAAAGTCCTTCCCTTTCAGCTCCACAATTTTCAAAAAATGCATGAAATTAACAATGTAATAGAAAACAATATGAGTGAGTGATACTGTGAATAAAAATAGTAGGGCTGTTCAGCTGAGTATGAAGAAAAAAAATACCCAGTTCCACAGAGATCAACCATTAATGTGTCCCTGCTTACCTTTTCTGAAACACAAAAACAAGAAACACTCCACAGAATTAACAGGTGATAGAAGCAAAACATAAGCACAGAGAAGGGAGGGGCAGGGGAACTCAACCTATAATTAGGTGGCTCTCTAGTTAGGTAAATGGTGCTGTAAGATTCCAAAAAAGATAAGAGGTGCAAGTGAAGAAACCATTACATTTACTATAAATACCACAACCTAATAGATTAGTGAACAGGACTGGAAATCATAAGCCACAATTTCTATTCCTGGTTTCCCTGCAGACTTTTCTCTCTGGGCCTCAGTTTCTTTGTCTGCCAAGATGAGAATGATGCCTCTCTGTTCCCTTTCCCATTATCATCCACTACACAGAAATGGAGGAAGAATGGGTGGGAGGAGTTAATGGAAGATTCACCATCAGATTCTGTATAGAGATGCCAGATTTGGGAATCCCTCTCTGAAAAGGCTTAACACCATCAACTCTCATGCCAAAAAGCTCCAACTATATGGGGAAAGGAAAGACTCATCAGAGGAAATGCAGAATCAAAATGGGCTAGCAGAGGAAGGGCATATAGCATGTCTGAAGTGCCTCTTCTTCAACAAGGACAGAAACATTAGGAGGCTATGTTGTGAGTAAGCCTATATTAGGTGTAAAGGAGTCCCAATTTCAGAGATGTCAATCACCAATATTCATCATCCATCTTCAGGCCTATACATAAGACATCATATTAGGTAGCAGGGATACAACGTGGTCAACAAAGATTTATGCAGGCCTTGTTTTGTTAGTACAACATGACTGTTGCCCCCACAATACCAAGGAGAAGGTAAGAATCAAAACAATTCAAAAGAATCCTAATAGTATACCAGTACCAGACACCTTACATAGCTTCCATTTCCTGGAAGTCAGAAGTAACAACTCACCTTTTTCCCATGGTCTGGGCATGGGAAAAAGTAGCAAAACCCTGTCACATATGACACAATTCATCTTGAACAACTCCAAACCAGATTACTTACATGTCTTCCTCCACACTTCTAAACTTGCTTCTCAGACCAGTACATTCTCTACAGATACAATACGCTCACTTCCCTTTTCCTGGTTTCTGTACAGTAACGTGTATAAGGAAAGATGTGGCCTTTGTTTTTCTTTCCCCCAATTGGTCATTTGCCTTTGTTAAAGTTCCCTGGAGTGACCATAAAACACTCCCCAGATCAGAATTTGTTTACATATATATATATATATATATATATATATATATACACCCAACTTCCAAAATACCAAAGATCCCCATCCAAAGGTGCTTTGTTTTAGACTGCAGCTGGGGGGGAGGGGGGAAGGAGAAAAAATTTTTTAAAAAGCTAACCACCCCCCATATAGCAGAAGAATGAAACAATGTCAAGAAGAAACCAGCCATCTCCAGAACCAACTGGTAGTTTATTCAAACATCCCCAACTTCCAGGGGTCAGCTATAGTGGCAGTTTACTTCTTTGGCTGATGTCTGGCTAATCATCTTAATGCCTTCTTAATGACCATCACATTCTGGAAGCCACAGCTTCAGAATGTAGTAAATACTGGCCCCCTCTCAATTAAATTAGGGGTTTGCTGTTTTATGTTTTGATAGGAAGGGGATGTTTGAAGCCTCCTAAAATATTCCAATTAGTTCTCTCTGTTGAAACTGACAAGACATTAACAGACACATTTGCTGTTTCAGTTTAATGTACCAGAATGTTTGCACATCAATGTACCCCTCACAATTTTTTTAAATGTGCAGCATATTTTCAAAAGTGGAATAAATTGATCACAATTTAGACACGTTTATCATATATTTCCGAAGTTTGGTTGTGTCTTTTAAAAAAAACTTTCAAAATCCATAATTTAAACTGGGGTAAGTGCCTGGGACAAATGCCTATTTGAACACCAAAGTCACCTGTCAAGAAATAAATGCTCCTTATTCACTTATTGCTTCTTTAAAAGGATAGCATCCCCTTAGCAGACAAGCCTGTGTTTGTATTTGACAATTGTAATTAATTATAGAAATGTAACAGAATTGGAGCCAGCCATTCAGATTCTCCGGTTTACAGGGCGAAAAGAGAGGAACAAAGGAAAAGGTTATTTTCCTCCTTGGTTTCTACAATAAAAGATGTTCTTTTGAATGGTATCAGCAATAATAAAGAATGGATTATTAATTTGTTTTACCCGAACTTAACTTTCTCATCTTCTCTTATCTATCTCGATCATTGGCTGATACCAGCAGAAAGTAATTTATATGGAGTCTCATATAACACGGGCTTCCATCTGCTGGAATGGAGCCCATGAAAGGGCACAGGTGCACAACATAAAAGCTCATAGGTAACATACTGCCATTCAGAAATTGGTGCACCCTAATGCAAAATAAATACAGCGTTTGCTCTGCACAAGAGGAGAAGAGGGAATGACTCTGGGGGTTGAAAACATCTTGTGTCTTTAACAACAGAAAGCCAGAAGTATACCGTACTCTCAGTGGCATCTTTTCTATTTCCAATCGACCTAAAAACCTTGAGTTGTGCCCTCCCTTAACTCAGGTGCCAGTGTGTCTGGGGAAATTTTCGAAAGATCTCAGTGAATCTGGAAGCCTTTCTGCTTTTCCAATCTTTTAAACTCTATTCCATAATATGGCTTTGTCATTAAACACTGAAAAGGGAAAAGAAGGGAAAGCCAAGGGCAAGGGGGCCTTGGTTTCAGAGACACTTGCTGTCCACAGAGGAGCTAGGAACAGGGCAGAGGACTCTGGCACCGGAGGCAATACGGTCCCAGCACTAGTCAAGCTGGTAACCACAGCTCCCAGGCTCTGCCCGTGCTATTCACAGCCCTGACCCTCGGAGAATCAAAGCCGAAATGCGAGTGGAGCTCTCCTCACCTCTCAGCAAAATTAAGCTATCCCTAATTCTCCAGGGATGGGATTACCCAGTGCCCCCTCCCCAGGGCAACCCAGTAGGGTCGAAGCTGCTCCTTAACAGAGGTTAAGGAATCACATTTCTCGGGCTCTTGGAAAGGGGGCGAGTCCTTAAGTTGATGACTGCTCTTTAGACAGAGAATGGGCTTTTTCCTCTCCCTACATTCTCCCCATCACCTTGTCAGCAGGCTTCCTTTGCTTCTACAGTCCCGCCCCGTCTCACCCTGCCCTTGCCAGTACCCCTAGCCCTACCTGTACCACTCCAGCCCTTTCTCGTAGTTCCTGTCGAAGAAGTGCGGCTCCACGCCCACTGCCCGCACGTCTGGGTGCACTCGGATCGCCTCCAGCAGAGCCCGGGTCCCTCCTTTCTTCACCCCGATGATCAGAGCCTGCGGTAGCTTCTTCTCTCCGTAGTCCGGGGTGGTGGTGCCAGGGCCAGGGCCCCCCTTTTCCCCTCCTCCTCCACTGGTACTATTGCCCCCCCTCCGGCCAGTCAGCTCCTCGTCTGTGGTGCTGGACTCATGGGCGTCCCTCTCGAAGAGCCCGCTCTGCACCGTGATCATCTCGGTGGGGGCCAGGGGGGTCCGGATCCAGGCGTCCCGGTTGGCTGGCCCCTCTCCGCCGCTGCTCCCCGGTCCCCAGTCGTCTCCGGGGGACCGGGGGGAGTCCAGTGGCTCCCTTCGGCTAGCGTTGGCTAGCGCTCCCAGGGACGGCGGCGGCGGGCGCGAGGGGCCGAGCTGGACACGGGGAGGCAGGAGGGAGGGCAGCAGTGGCGGGCTGGGAGGGGGGCCGCCCGAGGGCTCCCCGGCGCCGGGCGGCTCCTGCAGCGCCAGTGGGAACTGCAGAGAACTGTAGCAGCTCATGAGACTGTAGCACAGGTAGGTGACGGACAGAGACAGGGTGCACATGAAGAGCAGCTTGCGCGCCGGGGGCCCCTTAGAAGAGGCAGTGGGCGGCGGCGGCGGCGGCGCGGGCCACTGGGCCATCGCGGTTGCCCGCTGGCGGCAGTGGCGGCGGCGGCGGTAGCAGCAACGGCGGCGGCAGCAGCAGCCCCCGGCGCTGCCCGGACATGATTTCAGCCGCCGCCCCCGCCGCCGCCGCCAAGCCGCCCGGGTTGCATGGAGAGACGCCGATGCGCCCCCGGCCCCGGCTGCTCCTCCAGCCGCCGCCGCTGTCCCGCTGCACTTGGGGGGAGCCCCGCCGCATGGCCCTCCCGACGCTGCCCCCGGAGCCCGGCTGTTGGCCCCGGGCTTCCCCCACTACCCCCCCTCAGCCGCTGGAAAGAGGACTGAGGGGGGCGCGCGAAACTCCCTGCGCTGCCGGTGGCACCTGCTCCAGCCTCCGTCTCCAGCTCGGTGTCCACCTCCTCCTCCTCAGTCGCTGCCGCCGCCGCTGCTACCTCTATAGCAGCCGCTGCCACTGCCGCCGCCTCACACTGTTGCAGCCCCGAGTTCCTTCCCCGCTGCTAACTTTCTGCCGGGAGAGGAGCAGGGAGGGGAGGAGAAGAGGGGGGCAGGGCGCGCACCCGCCCGCCACTGGGAGGCTTGGGGGGCGGATCACGCGCACCCCCGGGAAGGAGGGGAGGAAAGCAGAACGCGCGCCGGGAATAGGGCAGAGAGGGATGCACTGGGTGGGGAGGGGGCGTGCCTTGCGTGCCCTCACCTGAGGCGGCCCTAGGGTCTCTCTCTTCCCGGCCCTAGTCTTCGCCAGTCTGGATGCCTGTAGCTCTCGGTACCCTGTTCTTCCCTTGCTATGTCGCCAGGTCCCCAGGGCGCACAGGGGGATCGCACCGGGCCCCGGCCCGTGCCACGAGGGCCAAGGAGCTTACCGAGAGCGCATCAGGGATTCGGTCTCTTCTCGCCAGGGGGCTCCCTGGCTTGGGCTCTCCCCCCATTCCTCCCGGACCGCACCCCTAAGGAATTTCTCTCCGTTCGGTTGGCATGTGTTTCCTAGCCTGATTTTTTTTCCCCTTGCTTCCTTTCTCAAACTAGCCTTCCTTAGCACTCATTGCTCTCTTCTCACCCCACCCCCAACCTTGAAATCTGAAGACTTTACACAGCTCTTCCCCGCAAATGGTCCCTGGCCCAGGGCTGTGCAATTTTGCCGGCCCAGTACTCTCATGGGAGAGGGAACCTGCTGGTTGTTCACCTCTCTAAGAATACCTAGGCTAGCTACAGGTGGTTATATTTTCCTCCCCCATTACTAGGAATGTAAAGTATACTATAGTTGAACCATGTTATGAAGCAGCTTATTAACTGGCTTTTTTAGATACACTGTGGGTTGGATCCCGTCCCTAGAAAACACAAGGATAAACATCAAAAGGCCAATTACAATATAGTTACCCTGTACCCAACATTCTTGTTGTACTAGAGACACCATGCTCCAGGACATCGACCCTTTACTGTGAGAGAAAGGATCATCAGAATGGAGAATCAGCTAGAAGCAAGGACAGTTCTGTTTTCTCTCTTCTTTCTGAGGAACTAGAGAGAGATAGAGGGAGGCGAAGAATAACGGTCAAACTCCCTGGTAGGGTCACTTTCCTGGGGCAGAGTATCCCTGTGGTAGCTTTATGGAAAAGGAACTCACAATTTGCCCATTAGTCTAGCTCTCCAGGGGAGAGTGGCCTCCTTCGAAGCCCCTTTCAAAAGCCGCTGAGCCTGGGTACTTAGTGGGGCAGCCTTTTGCCTGGCATGGTAATGCAGCTGGCATCTCCAGGTTTGTTTGATCATATAATAAATCCAACAGTTGAAAGAAAAACGTATATAGTGTCTAAATATTAACTAGATACCTGGTGCCAAGGAAAAAAATGTTAATCAAATAAGATGAAGAACGTGGACTTTTCCCATAGTGAACAAAAGCTCAATGCTGCTCTCAGCTGGACATGTGTTCTTTCTCTGCAGCTTCAGTTCAGATAAAGATTATTCCTTTATAATATATTTTTTATGGTACACTGGAGACCTCTGAAATGCAGAGTCTGGTGTCCTGTAAATCATTTCCTGTAACTAGGGATTCTTTTTCAAACACCACACAACTGCATTACAGTAACGTTAATGTTAAGGGGCCAATTTGAGTTGGCAACAGCACAGGCTGGCCCCGCTTCTACCTATCCCTGTGCCTAGTTATGCACCTAAGATATTAGAATCCTCTGATTGCAAGGCAAAGAAGTCAAGTGAACAAACATTTATTAAGGGCTTACAATGTGTCAGACAGTGTGTATCTCACTGGAGATACAAAGAAAGGGCGGAAAAGCAGCCTGTGCCCTGAAGGAGCTTACATTCTAATAGGGGATACAACTGCAAACAATAATGTGTATACAAAATATTTACAAGGTTAACCCAGCTTATCTCAGAAGCAAGGCACAAGCAGCGGGGGCTGGGGTGGAGAAGAGGTGGAAAAGGCCTTTGGAAAATTTGTGAATAAAAGGAAATCTGACTTTGCTACCCTTCCACCTCCCTTCTGTATACTTTCCCACCTGATAGTATATCCTGTTTTTCCATATTCCTTCTCTATTCACACCTAGCATGTCCTATTTCTAGAGGCCTGGAGACAGAAGTGGAATTTGAATTCAGGTCTTCCCGACTCCAAGTCCAGCATTCTATCCACTACAATACCGCCTACCTATTTCTATTGCCTATTGAGTACATTTCAAATGTCTTTGAGTGCTTTGTAAACCTTAAGATCCTATATGAAAATGAGTAGTTGCTTTTAACTGTGACTGTAATGTTATACCACCTTAATTTTCTAAAAATTATTCCCTTCTTTGTATTTCCTTTATGTTCTAGCCAACCTGGACAACTTTCAGCTCCCCAAATATTCCTTATACCTTCTCACCCCCATGTCTTTCCTCACATTTCTTCCTGTACCTGGAATTTACTTTCTCCTCTTTTTTTGGAATTAAATTCTTATCTATTCATTAAAGTTCAACTCAAATGCCACCTCCTGCCATTTTCTCTCACCTACCCTGTCCATAATGATCTTTCTTTTAGGTTTCAGAAGAACTTTATTTTGCAATATAATTTATTTTTCATGAATTATTGTGGTTAGAACTACCTATATATGTAACTTCTATTAGATTGTAAGCTTTATAAGGACAGGGATTGTATATGTTCTCCCTCAAACAGGGAGAGGGGCTTAAGGAGTTCATTGAATTGAATTGAAAAATAAAATGATGCAACATAAATAACGTTTTTTATCAGCTTTAAAAGAAGCTTGAAAGCAAATCCTTCACTTATTCAAGAATAAATTTCTAATGGTAGAATTTCAGGCACCATGATGGATGAGCTGTAATGTACTTGGAAGAAAAAGTACAGTGGAAGTGGGTAAAGGATGCTCTTTGGCATCTACTCTTTTTATATTTAAGGCCAGCTATGCCTGACAGAAATGTTCTTGCAATACCTACAACTGATAAGAGGCTGATAGTGAGAGGACTAAAGTAAAGAGAAGTGAACCATCTTAATTGACAATTCCAAATGAAGCCAGGAGCCAGCAAGATCCTTTTAGAATGAAAACTGCCACCATCCTGGTTCATGCTCTCATCACTCCCTCTTGGCAGGAAGAGCCAAGGAAGAGCCTAGTACTCAAAGCCCACCATAATCTGGTCCCAACTTCCTTCTGTAGCTACCTCTCTTCAGTCCTTTCCTTCATGTACCCTGTGCTACAACCGAATTGAACTCTGGACCTTTCCCTGAAATTGTGTTTTCTTACCTCCACATCTTTGCTAGGTTCATTCTCTCTGCCTAGAATGTTCACCACCAGTCCCATGATTGTTGTTTAGGGAAATCAAAACAGTCTTTTGAGGCTAGGGTGAAATATTACTTCATGATTCCTACCCTAATCATCCCAAGTCAAAATGATAATTGCTACTGTCTGCATTAGTCTAACAGTTTAATCCCTTACGTGACATTTACTGAATTCTATGGGATTAAAGTCACAGAGACCTAGCATCAAATCTCACTCTTCTACTTTGTAGGAACTGTATTGTATATATGCAATTTTCACTAAATTTTTTTCCTTAATGCCTCACTGTAGTGTATAACTGACTGGTTCCTGCAAAGAGCCTACTATGTGTGGATGAGCTCTGTCAGGCTCTTCCATACTGGAAAAGTACAGCCAATAGTCCTAGCTAATCCAGGGCTAGAAACCGGACTTTATGTTCATTGAACTTTGTCAGAATTTGGCTGTGACCAGCCTAGCAAAGTTAAGTGATACCTTTCACCAGGTTAGCTATAGAGCTATAAATATGGAAACCACAGCAACTCTCAAAGACCATCTGTTATATTGTAGAGGGGTTGTGATACATATTTCTGAAGAAACTGCCCAATCCAATGAAAATATGGATCTTTGAAGCACTGAAGTAAGTAATTATAGTCAAGTCCCTTAATCTCTCTCCCCTTTTGTTTCCTCATCTATAAAACAGGCTTACATCACTTCCCTTACAAAGCCAGTAGAAGGAAAGGGCTTTGGAAACCTATATGAATGGGGTTCATTGTTATAGTTTAACAATTGTCTTCCTTGTTATCATCCTATCAATCATCATCTATCATGTCTCATCTACTACCTCTTGAGCCTGGAAGCTCACTCCACTCCTGGACTTCACACAGTAGAAGTACTTTGCAACCCTTCCACCTCTCCCTCTGAATGGCTGGTTCCTCTCAGAACCTTTATTTTAAGGAGAAGGCCCAGGCCAGCCATGTCTTCATTCCTCTCCAGGCTTTACTCCTGATTCTGGTGGACTTTCTCAACAATGCTCAATGGCCCCGGATATCTCTTCACCCTGGAAACTCCCTCTATTCCTGGCCTTCACATCCTGGAGGCACCCTCTGCCCTCAAGCCTCTCCCTCTGATTAAATGGTTCCTCTCAGAACCTCCATTGTAAGGGGGAAGCTCAGTTTGGCCATGTCCGTCATTCCTCTCCAGGCTATACTCTTGACTCTCAGATTTTCTCTATAATGTCCCCCACCCTGGTACTTCCATTTTTCCCTACCAG